TTCACCTTGCAAAGGACCTTCTGGTGTATTCTGACGTCATATCTCTATCTTGTTTTATTTTATAACTTTTCGCTTTGGAATTGTGTTCTGTCCCGGAGAATTTCTTGCGTTGGTAAGGTCTCCGCTCCTTCCAAATGTTTTCTTCTGGGGTTGACATTAAGTATCTGATTGTTGTTTTTCTGACCTTTGCCAGGTGCCTTGTTTTGTACTGCACAACCAGTTTGTTCGTAGTTCTAAACTTCCAAAATTGATATCAGGGTAGCTGAAGCACCAACACACGGCCATTTCCGACTGGTCGATGTTTCCTAGACGTGACTGCACACCTCCAGCATCTGATGGCTCATACTGTTATCAACAAACGCCATTGCAGTATTCGCCGGAGGAATAACTTCGTCGCTGAAGACTGGTTGAAAAGGAACATCCAGGTGTTCTGGAGACATCTGTCCAATTACTGTATAGAGCGTGTTTTCATAAATGTAGCATTAGAAAGGATACTAAATAGTAAAGGGCTATCGTTTTGTACTGGTTGGTTTTCACGAGGCTGTCACGTTCTCTGTTGAATGCAGTCTTGAGGAAGCCATAAAATTGATGTGAATTTCGTTCTTGTGTTTTAGTCAGTGAGGTATATGAGTTGAAATCTACAGCGTAACACTGTAACACTGCACAGTTCAGAGGCTGATCAATAAACGATTGCCCAAATGAAGAGAATTGGGTGGGGTTGATGCATCCAATCAGCAAACTCTTCGGCATTGAGCCATCCGTTTGTTGTGCATTTGTAGGAAGCTCTTAGAAGGCTCCCTATGTGGGGTCCATGCGCTTTAAAGGAAAATGAACACGAGAGGAACAAAGTTTCCGGGTGTAATCTTACGGAAGATGCTCTCTGCTGTGCTGACGAAACCTTCCTTCCTATCTTAGCAGCACTCTCTCCGGGTTTTTGTAACGTCGATATTCCGGCTTCTCCCTGATTGCAAATACTTCCTCAGTACTGGAACCTGACTATTGAAGAGCGTTGGCATTTCCTTAGTAAATGCTGCTCTCATAGTGTGTATTGCCTCTGCTTCTCATACAAAATGAGGTTCGATTTTGTTGTATATCATGTAGAACCCAATCCTGTCGGCTAATTATGCTTCTCGGTTCAGATATCTCCCAGCCCTTCAGTGAAGCTGTATCCAAGTCTGCACGTCTTTGTGACCAAGGCCTGCAGCAGAGTGTAACCGGCTGTCTACTTTTCTTGCTTTGGAGTATAACCCGCCTTAGCTTTTTTGTATTGCCAGAGTCTGCGCGGTCTTGGAGAGTAACAAGTGGAAAACCTAAAGCTTTTCGAACAGCTCGAATTTTTCTGTCGTCCTCTTTCACACCTTTCACAGGAGCACTTTCAGCTCACGAGCTCCAGTGTGAAGTTCTCACAGCGGTGTGCCGCCCTGTGGCCCAGTAGAAGTTTAACTGCCTCTATATTCAGTCTTGGAGAGTAAGCCAAGTGAGCAACCAGCAAGAAGGAAGCATCAGTCAGACCTCTGCTTGCTGGTTTCTTCCTTCGCTTACTGTCTCATCCCGATAATTGAGGCGCTCCGTTCCTCTTATGCAGGATTACACGACTCCACGTCTTGATAGATATCATATTCCAGGTTACTTACTTACTTACTTACTCATGGAGCTGAGCCCTTCTGGAGGAGCCGCCAATTCTGCAGCTACTCAAGAATTTCCCAGCATTTTATGGAACCCGAAGGTTCATTACCGTGTTTACAAGAGCCCTCCACTGGTCCCTATCCTGAGCCAGATCTATCCAATCCATACCATCCCATCCTATCTCTCTAAGATTCATTCTAATATTGTCCACCCACCTACGCCTTGGTCTTCCCTGTGGTCTCTTTCCTTCTGGCTTTCCCACCAATATCCTATACGCATTCCTCGTCTCCCCCGTTCGTGCTACATGACCTGCCCACCTCATCCTCCTTGACTTGATCGATCTAATTATATTTGGAGAAGAGTACAAGTTATGAAGCTCCTCATTATGCAGTTTTCTCCAACTTCCTGTGACTTCATCTCTCTTTGGTCCAAATATTCTCCTCAACACTGTTCTCAAACACCCTCAGTCTATGTTCCTCCCTTAATGTCAGAGACCAAGTTTCACACCCATGCAGAACCATCATATTCCAGGTACCTTTGTTATTCCTTAGTTCTGTCTGCGTCAGTCGAAACACTTCTTTCGAAGTTGGAAATTTCAAATCAGATGCATGAAGTAAGATTTGAGGTTTTCACGGCGGGGACTATGAAGAAAGCAGTCTTCTGGGATTTGGCACCGTGTATAGGTGGTGTTAACCGACGTTTCGGAGGAACGTATCGCCTNTCGATCAAGGTACTCACTACAGGATGACAGTCATTATGTCCATGATAACAAATTTGGATAAACTTAGGATTTCTAGCTTATATTACAGCTCTCAGACAAAAAGAAAAGCACAATTCTCAAGTTTTATTTAGTATTTCAAGTTATAGAAGTGAAGTGTTGAGTTTGAGTGTAAAACTTGATTTATCTTCAGTCAAACATATTTTGAAAATTGCATAAGATTTTACTAAACCCTTTATTCATATTGTTACGAAAACAGTGTAATTAAATGGCACCTGTCTCTTGGTATATGCTACTTGGGTTGGCCGCGAGGTACCACTAGTAATCACACTGGACATCCTTCCCCACTCACAGACAGTGGTGTTCGGTATTACCCAAAGATTGGAATTCTCACTCTTACCCCTAAATGAGTACAACATGCAAAGTGAATCTGGTCTGTATGCTTATTTAGTGTAAATAATTTATTTCGTCCATGTGTACGTTTAACAAATGTTTAGTTACACGGGTATGTAGGTCATTGGCTCTCAATTTGTACTGTTCGCATAAAATAGTATTTATTTTACTGGCCTTGTATCGCTTACTTGATTGTTACTATCTTGCACGCTTGGTTTTACGTCTCTCACATTACAGCGGGTGACTGCATTAGGATTATGAGAGTGAAACTGCATTAAAGCTTCACCCCGTCGAGGTACGTTGGCCCATACCCTGACACGGGAATGGAAAGAGGGCTCTGAAGTTATTCTTTCCTTCATTTTTACGTTCTCACAATTTCGTTATCCTTACCACCCTATTTCTGTTTAGTTCGTCGACCTCACTGGCTCCCTTAGCGCGCTGAACACCCACCGTATTATCGCAATAGATACCGGGTAATGATTATTCTCGGATTGCTGCGTCTGTTTATATTTATCACACCAGTTATTCCTCTTATTTCGTTCATATTGAGAGCCTGTCTCATCAGCAGGGAACTTTCCCACGTTTTCGGCATTACTTCGCATTTGTGTGTTCTTACGGACAACAGAAGATGAAGGGCGGCTGGACTATTCTCACTGCCCCTCCATGCATATCTAGGTGCTGATCCCCGTCCATAGGTCATGTACATTCGCTTACTGCTCAATTCGGGGCTCGGGCGGCGTTTACACTCCGACGGTCTCTTGGTATGCCGTTCTGAGACGTTACCACTCACTGGGCGTTGTGACGAAATCAGCCGAAGTTGCCTGAAGCTGGGTAGACCTGTATACGTTTGCATGACCTAAGGTGGGGAGCCATGGGCCATAAGGGCTTAAAGACGCAGTTAACCAGTAGGCTAGAATTTATTGTTAGGTTTGGGATTGTCGTTGATGTCCAAGAAGATAATTCTGCAGAGTATTTCTTGAGTTCGGGTCATGGTGGAGGTTCCCACGCTGGCAGACAGGAATATTTAACGGGAATTGAAGAATTCCTGTGCTGTAGTCTGTTGCCAATTGGTAATTTAAACACATGGTTACGTACATCAAGATTGTGTATCTGAATTACTGATCTTAATAAACCGTGATAATACATTGTGGGATATAGAGATAAAACCTGCTGCGTAACCTTGTTACATTGTGTAACTCGTGACTTGCAGTACAGTAAGCGGCAGTGTTTGTGCATTTGCACGGTAGGAAACTTTGAAAGATGCAGTTATATTTCAGTCCTGTTTACATCTATCCAGTTGGCCTTATAATTTTGGTGTAGATATGTTGCAGCTAAAGTTTAAATCGAAAGAAACTATGTATATCTTGTTATAAACGTGTTTTTGCCACATTAATTATGCTAATTAAAAATTATTCTTTGATGCTTGGTTTGTTTATGTGGCACTGCGTAAGAAAAGAATTTGTTACAATGGTAATCCTATATTTTTATAAAGGCACTTGCTTTTCGCAGTCCCCTCGTCCTAACTCATGCCGGCTCAGTAGAACAACTGAATCCTGTCAGGCAATAAATTAGGCAAGCGGAAACTGCACATCACAAGCCAGTCCACCATTNCACGGTGCCAAATCCCAGAAGACTGCTTTCTTCATAGTCACCGCCGTGAAAGCCTCAAATCTTACATGTTTATTTATTGGCAGTGAAACTTTACAGATTTATCCGCACAAGCAAGGAATAATTTGTTTTTATGTCATTATCAAAATTCACGTCTCCAGAAAGCTACAAACTTGCCTCCTGTGGTGACGTTGTCCTACCTGATGCAAGACAAGGTAGTTGTCCTCTGCTGAGAAACGGAAACATGTTGTAACTCGCCAATAAATCAGTCGCAGTGCCTAAAGAAGACTGTAACATCCATGGAGAAATGTCACGTGCCTATTCTGGAAAGTGCGGTCAGTGAACAAAATCGTTAAATCTGAGATGTGAATTCATTGCACTGACCTTTAAATAACATTGATTTAAAGGTCTTCCAGCCATTGTCTTTATGTTAATTGAAAATTTAAATAGATATATATATTATAGTATTAAAATGATTGAAGTTGTGCTGTTTTGGCACGCATGCAGAATTTTATGAAACTTCAGTAGTGGTCATACCCTGAAACCGCAGGAAACGCTGAACAGTATTTGCATGTGGATTGCTATGTAAACTTAACATTTGTTTCTATTTACTTAAAGTGTACTGGTGGTTCAATAATTGTTCTTTTATTTGTAGATTCATGGGAGTTTGTGTTCACGAAGGGCAGCTGCATGCTTTGACAGAGGTGAGTGTTGTATCCCTTAGATATATACGTACAGTAATAGTCCAAATGACTTGAAGGCATATCGGTATAGTTTAGTAGGTTTGCATTTGCGTGCTTTTCTGTAAAAGTTACTAGTTCATACTTAAAGCATATAAATCGTGAAATAAATTTCCATTCGGTCATAATTCTTACACTTAGAATGGATAAGTTGACAAGATTATTTCTTTCTTTGCTAATTGCACAAAATTAAAATTGATTTTACATAACAGTTGTCACGCAGTTACGGTTTCATGATTATATCTGCGTATTGATATTAATATAAGCACACGGACGCACAGTATCATAAGCCAATGTTGCCTTATCTTATTTTACAAGGCAAGATCGGTTTGTGTGTGTCCTTGTACTCGTATGTATGCCTTCTTTACATTTAAACCAATGGATAGATTTCCTACGAAACTTCGTGTGAACAGCACGTCACTAAAGGCAGTCCGCATATTTGTACAGCTTGATTTCATACCATTAATACTATCAAAATTGAAAACTTTTGGGTTGGGAGCGACATTGGCGTCACTGCTGGCATGCAATGCTTAAAATGTGCAGTTTTTGTAGAACCTGTAGTAGTTTGAAGTGGCCCTTCAGTATCCAGGACTCGGCTAAGCTAGGCTCGTGGAATTAGGAATGGAGGCAGATAGTGAACGAGCCGTTTGAGCCGGAGGTACTGAACTTTGTATGTACACAGTGTGTCCAGGTTCTGTTAGGACTGAGTTCATTAAAAATACAAGACGTGAATTATTTTCAAAATTTCTCTCTTTTTTATCCAAAATAGTCTCCTTCTGAATCAATACATAGCTGGAATCAATTGAAAAGTTTTCGAAAACAGTCGCTGTACTCCTTTTGTGGAATCGCATTTAAAACTGCGGTACATTCCCTTTGGATGTCCTGAACGGTGTCGTGACGGTCTGATTTCATCAACTTAACTTTTGGGAACAACCAGAAATCTGCTGGAGCCATATCTGGCGAATACGGAGGATGACCAAGGACTGTGATCCCTTTTCTGGCCAAAAAATCGCGCACGATCTTCGATTTGTGGGGTGAGGCATTGTCGTGGAGGAGCAACCAGGAACCTTTCTCTCGATATTCAGGTCGAATTCGAAGAATTCTCGCCCACAAACGATTGAGGACTCCGAGATAATAATCAGAATTCACTACTTGACCTTCTGGCATAAATTCCTTGTGAATGATTCCTTTGGAATCGAAGAGAACGGTTAGCAGTGTCTTTACTCGACTCTTTGCATGCGCACTTTCTTTGGTTTCAGCTTCTTTGGGCTCAACCACGCTGCACTCTGCCGCTTTGTGAGAGGCTCATATTGAAAACACCATGTCTCGTCACCAGTAACAATCGATTTTGTAAATTTTATATCACTTTGGGCCGACCGTAACATGTGTTTGCAGTGTTCCACTCTGGCATGTCAGCGCGTGAGGTACAAACCGCGCACAGACCTTCCGTTTGCCCAAATCCTCGGTCAAAATTTGATGTACATTACTTTTTGGTATTCCCAAAAGTTCCCCGATGACTCTTGCAGAAACACGTCTGTCTGATGCAAGGATTTCGGTCACTTTTTTTCACGTTTTCTGCAGTGCGACTTGTTCTCGGCTTTGATGCACGTGGAGCGTCTTCAGTGTCCTCCCTGCCCTCACGAAATACAGCATACCATCGAAAAATGTTCGAGCGACTCAAACAACCACTACCGTACACACTTTTCATCATTTCATACGCTTCTCCGGCTGCCTTGGCTAATTTCAAACAAAATTCGATGTTGGCTCTCTATTCAACCGCCATTTTCCGACGAGCGTCAGAACAGTACTGTTACATTCAAGGTCAGAACACATGATGCAGCGATGCTTGCGCTTTGAAATTATAGACAGCCACAGCTGAAACTTCAAGAATCTTAACGCCAAAACTCGCCAATAGATGGAACTGCAGGGCAAAATTAAGAAAAAATGAGCCCTAACAGATCCTGGACACCGTGTATGTACCGTAGTTGGTTGAGGCACTGTGCTACAAGCTGGAAGGTCATGGGTTCGAGTCCCGATGACGTGGATTTTGTCACTTTACCTAATCCTTCCAGCCGCTCTGTGTTTCTGGGGTCGACTCAGCCTCTAACAGAAATGAGTACCAGTAATCTTCCGGGGGGGGGGGGAAAAAGGCGGCCGGCTGGTAAGGCTGACAACCTTACTGCCATCTGTGAGTCGATTTTCTAGAAAATGTGGCAGCCTCGACTTCTCACACCCCTGTGGGCCCCGAAGGTCTGTTACTTTCGCCAGGTGATTTCATTTTCTTTCGTGTAGGTGCCACGAACATTAAAAATCTGTTTCACTTGTAGTATGGCTTTCAAGAGATTTTGAACACAGTTGAATTCTGGTAGAAGTAACGAAGAAACATAAGCAACTCTGCGAGTCCCGATGCTTCTGTTTCTTCGTTGATTTGCAATGAAGAACCGTTGCATGATTTTAGTCACGTCACTAGTTGATGTTCTGTATCGTACGATAGATCACGAATACGATGATGAACAGTGTTATGCGACAGTTGAATATTCTCCTACTCCTTCGTCACGTGTATATCGAGCATACACTTTGACGTTTCGGCAGCATGTAGTGTACTTAAAAGTTTCAGCAATTGTGTGATCTTCCCCTGCAAGCGCAATGCGGTAACTCGCTCTGTAGGAGGCCTGGGTAGCATTTTCACTGCCCGTTTTTGTAACTTTGGTAATCAGCCTTTGACAAGTTTCAATCTAATGCATGAAGCCTCGGCTTGAAAAGTCTTATGTATGTCCGTGGCTGTACATTCAGGGTGAGCAGTTTACAGATGCCTACGTAGTTTTGCAGGAAACATTGTGTAGCTAGATAACACCTTGTTACACACGGCATAGCATGCATCTTTTAGCGCTTATATCACCAGTGCTTGTAAATACCTAAGATAAGATACACAGAATTACATTGCATCTGTAGCGGTGTCTGGACCATTACTGTAGAGCCTTTGGTTGATTACGCTGAAGGCTGAGGCCCGCTTCCCACTTCATTTTCAGCAGCAGCCGTGCTTTATTTTGTCTTTGAACTACCTCCCTTTAGCCACCGCTCCATCATGAAATTTGTAGATTAAATATGTAAACCCACAATGATGGCACTTGCGTCAACATATGCACGTGAAAGTTATGGAAGGAAAATAAACGTAAACACTACTTTCCTATTCACAGTTCGGTTATGTCAGCACTACCGCAACTCGAGCAAAACAGGACTGTTTGAAACTACGAATTCACACCTCTGCAATATGACCATGGGCTCGTAAGGGTTGTGGCAAGACTTTGACCATAGTAAAGGGAGGTTTTTGCCTTTGTTGACCGGTTCACGGCGATCGGTGCGCCGTTTGCTGCAAGGCGCGTACGAATTTTGCCGATTAATTAATATGCCTATTGGCCAATAACATTCGGAATAAAGTAGTTACAATTCACAGATCACAGGTGTTGTAAATGCTGTCCCTCTACACGTTGATATCTTTCGGAATTAACTCTTTCGTTAAAAACACAGGTCCAACAATCTTCTTGCGCTGAAAGTACGCCAGACACCAACTTTCACTGGATGAAACGGAACTTCGTGGGTTAGAATTCGCTGATCTTCAGTAAGGATTATTTTGTGTATTTATGTATCCCTGCAAGTGAAGCCAAGCTTCGTCAGAAGAGAGTGACAATTGCTGACGGTCTGATCCTCGGCGACAGACTGTAGAAACCAGCTTCAAAAATGAACCCTGCTAGCTGGATTGCGCGGCTGCAAGGCGTGGATTGCTGTTGTTTCATAGGGCCTAAGCTTCATTAATTATGTTGTCCTTCTTGCACAAGACTTTGACGCTCTAATCAAATGAGCTAGACGTGTAAGTGAATTTCTGTGTTCAAGTCTGGCTCCTTTGTTATCAAACTTTTCGTCAGTAAACACTCGGCGCTTATGTTTTTGTTTCCTGTCTATTAAGAGTCCCATTGATCAAACTTTTTTTTTTCACCAAATTGTGAATTGTTTGGCTGCAAGGAACTGTTTCATCACAACATTTACGTCGAAATTTTAGCTGATACTTCGTAGCAGATCTGTATTTCAGTTAGGGGTCATGCTGAAATACACATTAATCTAAAGCATAGCGAACCATGACGGAGCACACTGCTCACTAATTGCAACTGAGGAAAAAAAAGTAATTGAGCTCATAACTGCTGCCTACTGTTGACAAAGCATAAACAAATTGCCACGCATGAACCGCACTACTCGCCGTGAAACATAATGCCGTCAAGCGGCCCACAAAATGAATAACTTTCTTTCATTCCAAACGAATCGGCCATCAGGTATACCGGGTCATCGGCAGAATTCGTATGCCCCTCGTAACCGGCTACGCATCGGTCACCGTGAAGCGCAGTATCGCGAATTGGTCCACAAATTTAAGAACCTCCCTAACCTGCAGAGATTAGGTTTCTTACAGTTGACTCTTCGTGACCTGTACCCCAAATGCCTGTTGCCTGCCAATGTGGGGAGCACATTGCAGGTGTTGGGGTTTTCGTAAGTAAGTCAGCTCGGTATATTGCACAGTTAGGACACCTACCTATTTCTCTTAAGGATGCAATATTACGTGCTCAAGAATTATGAAAATTTAAATTCGTCGTTAGTGATGGTTGCCGAGCACAGTTTGGGAACCATCTCCTAAGAAGTATTTTGCGTTGCGAAAAGAAATATAGATGTGGTTCTTCATTGTGGAAACTTCTGTAACTGTCCTGAATTCAGCTGAATGCTCTGGATGTGTCATGCGATGACTGCGCGACGCCACGACGGCTCATTCTGCACAAAATGGTGGTCAGTATGTCGCCCAGGCAGCTTACGTATGTTGTGATGTATTTTCTCGGACGTAGCATAGCAACAGGATTCGGCGTCAAGAAAACTTGGCACTCTGGTTTGTTGGACGCGTCAGTAATGCAAATAAATCTCGTCACGAGGAATGTGGAACAACAGCCGTACAGCCCTGTTCCCTTATCCTTTGCTGAAAACATAGAGAGCTCTTTGGATGTGCTTATTTGTGTGAAGCAAGTTCGTAAGACTATTGTCCTGAGGATGGCCCTGTGAGGCCGAAATATGTAGCGCCTAACAAAGAATGTATATATGTTTCAATGACATTTTGAACATTTTGACGAACATTTTAGTGAGTTAGACGTAGTTTCGTGCCATATAACTCTGCATGAATGTTGTTGCATTATAGACGGATGAAAATCTGCAAATAAAGATTTTTATGAAAAAAGCAGTCTTCTGGGATTTGGCACCGTGTATATGTGGTGTTAACCTACGCTTCGGAGGAACGTATCGCCTCCATCTTCAGGGTAGAAGGAAAATATAAGAAATCCGCAAGCGAAGAGACCGTGAGAACCGGTAAAAGCAGACTGGACAGTCTGTTTTCGTCATAGTCACCGCCGTGAAAGCCTCAAATCTTACAAAGATTTTTATATTTATCATTTTGGTCATACTCTCAGGATCTGCCGTAGAAGGCTGTAGGTAGGGTCTGTTACGCTTAGGTCAAGAAAAATGCTAAGCGTTCTGTCATCTGAGATATAACGCCATGTATTCCGTTGCAAGTCAGCTGACTTTCGGAGGAACATGTCTCGAGCAGACTCTGCTTGTTACGTGCTTCAAGTTGGTTTCTTGCGTGGATTAATCTTCGATGCAGAAGATGGAGGCGACATGTTCCTCAGAAACGTTGGTTGAATTTCAACAGACTCTACGACATTATATCTCAGAAGATAGAACTCTTCATAACCACCGCTGTGAGTATGATTTACGAACTTCTGTGGGGTAAGCAGAGAACTTGCTGTAGGTATCTGTATGCTTCTGGTGTCTGATAAATCGATATTTTGTTTTTGCTCAGAAAATTAAGATAAGCCTGGTACATAAGTGAGAGAAATTATCGAAGCCCATTATCGTAATGATCTGGCTAATTCATGTTGTCAAGTTTTTTCTGATAAAACTTGTTTCATTTGTCAATATAACTGCTATGCAGTCATCAGTCATCGCTGATGGAGATCATCATATGAGCGGTGAACTGTATTTAGAGCCCAGTGATGCTGTTGGCTTTGACCTAGCTTCCTTACTCGGTAACCTGCCAAGTGCTGACTCCGAGATGAAACCCCGCGTAAGGACTGAGGATATGGTAATCTGCCTACAATGCTGAATGGCCTACTGTGAACTTCATATGAGCTCGGCCATGTTTGAACCGGGTAATTCACCCACTGTAGTAAAAAAAAATACACATTTTAGCCCAGTTTCATAAAGTAGGCTTATGCTGTCTCCATGTTGTGTGTCTATGAATACTCCCGCCACTTTTTAACTTTTGAATGCCTGAACCAATCTTTGTGAAACTTCGTATGTTTGTCATGATACCTGAGACCATCTCAACATTTGCTTCATAAATCCCTTCCATCAGACTGTGTGTCTCTATGTGTAACCTTCATATCATTGCTAGGCAAAGGTGTGGTAAAGTCTGCTCCTCTTTTTTCGCTAGGCAGGTTCTCGGCAAACATGTCTCCGCTGCAATGAATACACGCAACAATAAAATAATTGTTGGACTCGTATGTCTGTGAGTCTTTGTATGCCCCCAGTCGTTACAAGTCAGCAGCTCGGTAAACACGTTCCCGCGGGAACAAAATATTGTTGGAGGAGTCGTTTTCTATGCGGTCCACATATCAAAGGAAAGTGGGCGATTAGTTCTTCCCAGAATTTCTTTTTAATACGCACATGACACAAGCTAACACAGTCACATAACTTCTTTTGGGTTAATAACTGGAATCTGATTCCCAGTAGAAGAAGGATTTGTTTCCTTGCCGCCGCATCTACTATATTGACATTGGGACTAGCTCAGAATGCTGACCAGTATCAGGAGGGATCCCTTCTCTGAAGTGTGAAGTTGTCCGGTCACTTCATCTAGCATGTGGAGCTTTACTTTAATTTACTATGTATGCCTTAATTTCATGGTGCCTAGGCACAGGAACATATCACATTTTCTCATTTCGTCAACCAAATTTTTCCACTTAATATAGGAGCAGATTGAGCGTATTTATAGCCTGCCAAAAAGAAAAAACAAGATGTGCTAGGCTGTTGCAAGGCTTATTTCCTACATTCACTTTATAATCCTCTGGAATTTATATATACAGTTTGCACAAAGAAAATTAAAGGAGTGTGTAAAGGGGAGCTTATACCTATTCACATGTTTATATGTCTAACTTCAGTAAAATCTGGCCTTAGGGGTCAACATTAAAGTTGGCAGGCAGGTTTATTTGTCTGGTTGCAATGTCTGTTTTACACGAATTCGGAATTGTTTATAAACCCCCCTTCCCCAAGGGTTCATCATACAGAACATTAGTTGATGGCATAAAATGCGCTTGTAGTTTGCATTAATGTCTACAAGTTTAATTCAAAATAGTTTCTAGTGTTGTATAAAAGTGTTAAGTTACAATGTAGGAAAATAATTCCTGACTTCCATGTGTTCTGTGTTAGTATGATAAGCTTTGCAGTAGCATGTTCATACTTAGAAGCAGCTGATCTATCTGTCGGTCTGTGCCAGTAATATATGAAAGGAACAATGCAAAGAATGCATTGTTTAAATATGTAACCCAGCAATTGTCATACACGAATCTCAGATTAAACACTGCCAGTTTTCTTGAGTTCAGAGAATTGTTGCATATTGTAAAATATAGGTACTTTAAAATTATGTAACTTTTGTGAACCATAAATTTAATTAAATATTGTACATGCCAAATAATGTAAGCTTATTCCTGTATTCCTTATAAGCTTCGTCAAAATTAGATGTGTACTGTTGCAAGTACTGAGTGTGGTGGGATTGCCTTGCTTCGCCTGGCCTGCCCTTATCTCTTGTCCTGTGAGACTATCTAGACTCTATAATAATGAGTGAACAAGAGCATAAATGGTTATGGACAGTGAGACAGTAATTGCTTCATATTAGATAACTGTTACAGTATGATCATCTGTGCCATAAATTTTAGGTGCTTGCTTCTGTCACAGGAGTACAGCAGAAGGCAGATAAGGCAAGGGAAAGAATAAATTGATTTATGCCAGCAATAAATGAATGTCAGTGTATGTACTCCTGTGGAGGTTTTTTCATCTGATTTTATGCGGAACAGTTTTGAACAGCCATTGAAACACCATCGCTAGATCTTGGGCACGCAGCTGTCAGTATTACAGTCCCAACAAATGAACTGTGGATTAATTCTGAAATGATCATCTATATTGTATCTGGCAACTGCTAAGAATGTTTTGGGAGAGTGTTGAATGTTAGTGATTAATTAAATTAAACTGAATTTGATCTGATTAAGTTAATTTTGTTGTGGTGGGGGGGACCTCATGAAAAGTACGAACTTGGGATACTGAACCTGAGTCTGGAGAATGCTACTGAAATGGATCCTAAGGAAGAGGGTTGTGGTATATAAGACTGTGTCAAATAGTACGCTATTCTTTGAACGGTGTAGGACTTAAGTTCTTAATATGAAAGAAGTGATGAAAAGGAAAGTGAATACTGTCACCAGTGCTGTAAATATTGCATGTGTTATTTTTATATGAGGGTTATCAGTTATTTATAGAAATTAAGTGTCTTGAATTCAATTACTTATGGCTCAAAATGGCATGTCATCAACCTAAACAGTTCACATATTCATGTCTGTCTGGTATTCTCCAAGATTAGATAGGCAGTGAAGTAAAAGATTGGAAACGCGAAAACATAGGGTTTTTGCCTGAAGATTTTGCAACTTCGCATTCAGAATGCTCATAGCTGTTATAAATAGATGATATAAACATATTACTGATATTAAATCATTCTACAAATTTAAATATAATGTTTTTTTTCTCATTATTAAATTTACCATCTCCATGTTTTTAACTGGTGACTTTGAAATAGTATTCAATACAGAATTTGTAGACATGTGTATGGTATACCTCCAATACAGATTTCCTGCAGCAGCCTTTTTGTTGTCTTTAATTTTGCTCCCCTCCCCCCCCCTCAAAAAAAAAAAAAGGAAAAAAGAAACAAAGACAAGCATACCAACAATTGCATTTTTTCAATGAGTGTATGTTAGAGAATTAAATATACTAAAAATATGTTCATTTCAAGCTTTTTTGTTGTTTCAGTATATTAATGGTGGCAGTTTAGAGCAACTTATCCAGAACCGGAACCAGGACTTGCAGTATGCAACCAGGATGAAACTGGCCCTTGACATTGCGAGAGGAATGGAGTATCTTCATTCCAGAGGCGTCTTCCATAGGGATCTTACATCCAAGGTGAGGTTATATGACAAAGGTTATAGTGCTGACAAGCACATGTCACAAAAGCTAAGTAGGAATGCCAAGTTAAGGCTTCTTTTCACAGACCAGGTAATGCTTTGATTAAATTTGATGTTGGAGGGGAGGAAAGTGGTTGCACCAAATGTTATTAGGTGAACATAATTTTGATTTTTTTTTGGATATACTATAACCCTTCCATTGTCTAAAGTTGAGTCAGACTTTGTCACATTTTTCAGGAGTGAGAGTTTAATGAGTATGATAATGTCTCTGAAGGCCTCCTCTGAATTAATCTTAACTTCATCTTTGCATGATGCAGTTTGTTGTCCCAAATGAGACTCTGCCAACTGAGTCGTAGAAGTGTAACTGTTACAGCTTTACCATATTAATCCAAAAGAAATGGTGGTCATGGTGTCATGGCATTTGACCCACAGCTTTTAACCCAGAAGACATTTCACCTAAAGACTTGCGCCTAAAACATTTGGCCCGAGAGACATTTTACCTGAAGTGCAGCTTCCTTGCATGTAATTGTTGCATCCATTAATCAGTTTTCATTTCTTTAATTTTGTTGTAACACAAATATAGTAAGTTGTTTATAAATTCGTAACTCTGTCTGTATGTTTCTTGCGAATTTTTAGCTTGTTCAAGAGTACAGTCATCTGGGTTGTAATGCTTGGTAATGTTTTGTAATAGCTCGCTGAAGTTTCGGAGGAACATATTTCTGTGTTGAGGGTCAAAGAGTAAGCAGAATGTTGTACTGGCTGCCTTGAATAACCATTTTCAAAAGATGATCAGACAGCATCATCCCTTGTTTAATCACCTAATATATGAGATTATTAAAGGACAATGCAATATGGAGCCCATGATAATAGATTTACAAGCAGGAAGACAGGTAAAGGAACCACAGAGGTTGAAATACTGCATGAGAACTCAGCATTTTGCAGGAAGTAGCTTTATGCTATGAAGAATATGCCAAAAACAACCAGATAGCTGAGTCTCTCCTGGCATGTGGACTCACCATTACCATGTAATCCTTAATAAAAAGTGAACAATATATTTTTCACCAAACTTTGGGATATGGATACACACAGTGAAACAATAAAATAAGTATGTATCTTAAAATAAAATAAAATAAAATAAAATAAGTATCTTACCCTGAAGGTCACATTTCAGAGCTAAGGCCCATACATATTTTGTAGCACTTGTCAACAAGAGGCTGATTAACGTATCTTGTTCCAAATGTATTAGAGCAGTAATTGTTCAACATTGTCTTCCCATCTTCACACAGTGCCACACTGATTATCTGTCTATATTAAAAAATCCCTACCAAGTGATGTGTTCTCCTTAGGTTTTCTGACTAAAATTTTGTATGCATTTCTTCTGTTCTCATATATGCAGAATTATCACTTTGTCACGTTCTCCTTCATTTTGTCTCTCTGATAATATCAAGGGAAGAGTACAAATTATGAAAGTCATTGGGTATTTTTTTGCATCATCCTGTTACTTCCTGTCTTTGAGGTCCATGTAGTGTCTTGCCAGACACCCACACTGTATGAAGACTGTAGCCTTTTGGGTAATGACACCTTGTACTTTGGTAGGCAGTGAAACACTGACAACTGCTTATCAAATTACACTGTATCATAATCCAGAAGAGTATAAATCTCAGTCTTTACCAATGCCATGAAAACCCATAATCTCATCCTCAATCTGTGTTAACCCCGAAGGCTGAGAGACAAAGTCTGACACACGTATAAAAGAGGTAAACTTTAAAGCTTGATATGTAATAGCTGAGTAATGCTTATTTAAATAATACAGTTTCAGTGAAGAATACATTGCATTAATTGGATTGTACAGTCTGTTTTTGTGTGTGGTGGATGTGTACCACAACACTTAAGTGCTTCCATAAATTGTGGTAAGTTATTTTTCAACAGCTGCTCATCTTATTGGTGGATGGCTCCGTGTTGTCTGTTGGCAGTTATCCAGTCTTTTACTTAGTCAGACTAGACAAGCAATCCGGGTAACATGGCCAGGTAGTGGCCCATCTGTTTCCAGAAGAAATTATAGGGTCTTGGCTTTTGAAATGGTCAAGTTTTTTCTCTAAATTAATATAGTTAATCACTGCAACTGCTAGTTCAGTTCGTATACGTAAAATCATATGGAAGACTGTGCGATATTGATTTCCCTTCTCTCTGTTAGCAAACAAAATTAAACCTGTAAAATTAGCTTTATGTGAAAATGAAATTTTCAGAGAAGTGCATGTAATTTGTTTGTCCTTCCATCAGAATTATGGTAGCATTTGGAATTTTTTGGAATTTATTTTATCTCTCATAATTGTGACTATTCCAGTTACTGTTTTCTGGGTTATGACACAATGTAATTTTTTATGTAGATGCAAGCGTTTCAAATGAACCTGCTTCCTACAGCTTGTTCTTCAACCGTCAGTATGCAGACAGCAGGCTCCTCCAAAATGTTGCTCTTTAGCTAATTATCAAGTTACATGGTGTCACACCAGAAGACAATAAATAGTCTTTGCATTGAGCAGACTATGAGCCTATACCCCACTTAATATAGTAGAACATAGTAAAATTAAATATCTCTTATCATGTAAGATTTGAGGTTTTCACGGTGGTGATTATGAAGACAGCAGACTTGCACTTGTTCTCACTGTCTCTTTGCTTGCGGATTTTCTTATTTTTCCTTCTACCCTGAAGATGGAGGCGATACGTTCCTCTGAAACGTTGGTTAACACCGCATCTACACGGTGCCACATCCTGGAAGACTGCTTTCATCATCTCTTATCATGTTTAAAATGTTTAAAAGAAATTTAAATTGTTTGATCTTATGGTACCAGTATGCAGTGAGTTGAAATGGCTTGACAGAGGGTTAAAGCAGAAACAAGCACAGTGATGAAGTCATGCAGTATCGCATCTGTGAAGGTCGTGATCCTAACTGCCATCAGTTATTTAAAGATGGTGTATTACCTACAGGGGTTGAAGAGGTGAAGAACACAGTTGTATGCCCTGTACCTTCAGGGAACTAAGAAAAAAATTTCTTCTTATACAACTCCAGTAACAAACCTCCGCAACTCTCCACATGCCCAATCTTTGTTGTGCCATTATATACAAATTAAATATGTGTGCATCAGTAGTGTGAATGGATCACGTGTAGGTAAACTAGAAAATGTACTTCCACTGCAGAACAAATCCACACTAAAAGTATAAGTCACAGTAATGCCTGTGTGACGTCTTTCATTAGTTTAAACTTTAGTTAGTGTTAGCATGTTCATAGAACTGAAGACTGTCCGCAGAAGTTACTCTAGCAACATCCAACAGGCAGAATTTTGGAAGTCACTGTAACATTTTTGGATGATGCAAATGCTCAGGCCAGTAAATGTTATTCTTCATATGACCCACAGGGGTGGAAATGGCTTTTCAGAACAAGGTAGGTGTCTGAGATCAGTAAAAGCCCTGTCGGAATGATGAGCACACTTAAAGAAAATTGTTGCAGTGCAGATTTGAGAATTCAATCCTACACCTGTTTTTGCTGGGTGTGTTATATAGTTGTATCCTCTGAAGGCACTAGATGGTGCTTCATTGAATAATTATTATACAAACACTCTGGTAGCAGAGCCTGAAGTTCCAACACCATTAATATGAAAGCCTGTCATGTGACATGAGCCTGAGCCAACTACATCCAACTCCACTCTCAGAACCTTTCACTCTAAGATTCATAGCAGCGTTGTCCTCAGATCTCCTTCGCAGTCTTCCAAGTTGACATTTCTTGAGAGGTTACCTGCCAGGTTTCCCAATACTAGTCCCATGTACAAATCACTGCGTTTCTCATGATATTGCCCACCTGCATAATTCGATTAGGTCCTGAGCACAACAGACAATAGTGATAACAGAAAATGTGTAATTGTACCTCTTATTTCTTCCATATTTCCACTTTTATATGAGTCCTGTAATAGTAAAGCTTCTCTGTCTCTATCTATCTCTCCCCAAGCCCCTTCTCCTCAGTTTCCCACCATGATCTCAGTCCTTTTCCTTTTACTTTCATCTTGCAGAGCTTGCTTCTGTCTTCATTCAATCTAGAAACCTGCCTGTACCTTCTTGTTCTGTTATTGTTTCTCGTCTGTTTGAAGTTCCATTTTATATGCTTTCAGAATGTTCTGATCAAGAAGAATGAAGAAAATGGCGAGATGATGGCTGTGGTAGGAGATTTTGGACTTGCAGCCAAAATTCCTGATCCCCTGTAAGTTTTTCTTCTTTGTTTGTTTCTTGTTTAGAAAGTACATATTGTATTATTATTATTATGCATTGCCATGCAACCATCTGTTTTTGCGGGAACGTGTTTAGCGAGCCATTGTCTAGATACAGCTTATCTCATGGTCATTTCATAGCAACGGCTCTACATGCTACAGTACCATGCCATCTGATATCCATATTAAAATGTCAGTTTCCTACTGCAGACCTAATAGAGAACATCTGAAGATATTGTCATCGTCTTAGGAAAGCAGTTGAATTCTAAATGAAGGGTGGGTACTTTTGCTTCTTAAGGCATATAGGAGGCATGGAAGTAAAGCTTCAAGTGAGTACTTAGCTTCAGCTTTGTACTGCAGCTGCTTTACTTACCTGCACTTTGTTCTTACTTCGAAAGAAAGAAACCCTGTCCTAGCTGGATAGATTCCTGGGAGGGCCCTAGAGCCTTTCTGGTTGTGGTGAAGAGTGAGAAGATCCCACTCACTGCTCCAACTGTCCAGCTTAGAACTTGTCATGTTGGTGACTGAATTCTCATGGTTTCTTGTATTGTTAGAATAGTTAGATCTAGTATGAGTTTTAGCATGACTCGAGGGACAAGGGGAGCATTGTATGTTTGAGTAAGAAAATGCCATGAAAAAAGTATCCTTTAGGTGACACAGATTGGAGTTGCCTGATTGAAATGTGGTTTATTTAGTTTATTATAATTTAGATTGTATGAATTAAAATAACCAAATTTGGGTATGATCCAGGCTTATGTTGTAGCATTTATAATGCTTAGTGATGCTGTAGAGTCCACTACAAAATAAGTTTACATTTCTTACATATTTGGACTATGTAATATTGTATGTGTATTATTGTTGTATCCAGAAGTGGTAATGATGTTTTAGAACCACTAGATGCTCCATATCAGTAAAAAGGCCCAGGGTAATGACTAATAGATACTGAAAGGAAATTATTACAGTGTATGCTCTAGAATTTTTTTCCTACATATATCACTGATGGGAATGATAGTTATGACGTCTGAAGTACTGCAAATAGCTTCTGCAGAATGAAGAGCTCTGCATCTTTCCCCATTTCCAGTCCAGATTATAACATAACATGAAGGCGGGTAATAAATTCTTTGAAAATGTGGCAGAGTTCAAATATATGAGAATAACAGTAGCAAATCAAAATGAGGGACTGCTTGCCACAGTTGCATTCAGAATCTTTTGTCTTCCTGTCTACTGCCTAGAAATGTAGAGATTATACGAATAATATGCAAAACTGTAGTTTTGTCAGTTGTTTAGTCTGGGTGTGAAACTTGGTAACTCACCATTTGGGAAACTCATAGATTTAGTTTGAGGATGATCTAAGAGAGAAAGGTTAGGTTAGGTCCCAAAGAGTGTGTCCTGGAATAAGACCTGAAATTGAATCATGACTATTTCCTTCTGCATCCTTTCCGATTCATTGCTCACTGATCATCATTAACACATGTTATTTGGCACTGTATAATGTATCTGTTCTAAACATTATAGATAGACCACAAAGAAATACAGATGAAATGGGTAGGGTATGTAATGCACACGGGAAAGATGAGAGATACATGTAAAATCGACTTGGGAGACGTGGGCATGCGTGAGGGTATGTTATTATAACGAACCTTAAAGCAATAGAGTGTGAAGGTGTCAGTTGGGTTTAAGTGGCTCTGGATAGGACCCAATAGTGGAATCAAAGGAACACAGTAATGAACATTTGAGATCCATGAGAGGTGGTGTATTTCTTGCCTAACTGAGCAGTTGTTAACCCCTTAGGGGCTGTGCTGCATGCAGTTAGATAGTGAATAATATATTTTGTGGTGTTTGGTGTAGTGGTGGATACCGGCTACCCACAGTGGGATCTCCTTACTGGATGTCGCCAGAGTGCCTCAAGGGTCAGTGGTATGATGAGAAATCAGATGTGTTCTCATATGGAATTGTTTTGTGCGAGTTAATTGCCAGAGTGGAGGCTGACCCAGACGTCTTACCAAGGACTGAGAACTTTGGCCTGGATTATCTTGCCTTCAGTGAGATGTGTGGTCCATGCCCACCAGATTTTTTGAAGTTGGCATTTTCCTGTTGCACTGTGAGTGTATTTTTCTTGTATTTATATAATTATTCAGTTTGTGTCTCCTCCTCTATGTTTAAGACAGAAATGACTGTATACAGATCAACATGTTTCACATCCAGTGTAGTATAATTTAGTAAACACTATCAAATTACAACATAAAATGATATTTATTTACTCGGTACCCCAACATGTCTCAACTTTCAAAGAGTCATGAACAGGGGTGTTCTATTAACCAATACTTCTAGTGCAGTGGAATCACATGTTAAGCGGGGATATGTACATACGGGAAAGGTACGTAAAACCAAAGTAACATAAGCCAGAATTACCCTTGAGAATCCCGTAAAGTGTTTTACATTAGCATCCCATCTCACGTTCACTTATACCTCTATATAAGTTGCTAATGTTCTTGCTCATACTGTGTGTTGTAAGTTCAATAATTTGTCTTTCAGGTATTCCCTCTTTTCGTTCCTGAAATGCTTGCTAGCTTCATGTTTTACATTCTTCAGATTATCCACATTTATTTGGCTCATATCCTGTCACTGTTGCAGTTTGGCTTGTTTCCTTTGATCTAATAGTTTTGAACATTTTTTGACAAACCATGGCTTATAAAAGGGGGACAAAAACGCTTTCTTAATGTAAGGTTGTGTGGTAGCTGATTTTATGACATAACACAAAAAGTTGCAATCTAATGAAGTTAGTAATCACTTCTGTGGGAATACAGGGATGGTTGCATCACTTCATATGTATGTTTCTGTTTTGATTCTCATAAATGGATTTTGATTGGATTTCAACTTGAATGGGCTGCACTAAATGGTGTGAAGTTGAATTCAGTCTTGGTTCATGTTCATCCCATAGAATTCCTACTTTGCATGCAGCCCAGCTCAAACTGTCTGCTTTTCTCAAGAAAATGGTATGGTATAACATACAGATTTCGTTAAAATCCCAGCTTTTTTAAACATTTTTTGGTAAAGCAAATATTTAATGAAATGCAGAGGTAACATCAGTAGAAATACCTGTAGTGTAATTAGCTTTGCAGTAATATATTTGTATCTGCAATATACACATATCAACACCAGGGTCGCTGACATATTCAGAATAGTAAAGATTTTGAAAATATGTATAATCGAATCAAATTTTCTGATTATTCATGTTGATTTTGTGTTGTGAGATGTGCATTTGCCCTTCTGTTTCAGTTTGAACCTAAAAGTCGTCCATCATTCTCAGAAATTGTAACTAGCCTGGAGCAGATAATCAGTGACTACCAGAATAGTAAGCAGCAGGACACAAATGTCAGTGAAAAACGTTTGCTGACATGTGTGAGCTTGGGGTCAGATGAGAAGACTGGCAAAGTGGCATCATGCCTGGGAGCTCGCAGTGAAGAAGTAATACCAACTAGTGCTGCTGAAGCAGAGGCCTTACTTGAGAACAGGGATAAGGCACAGCTCAAGAAATGTGAGTCATTTACTTTCATTGACATGATAGTTGGAGTAAATTTATTCTTAGGCACTTGTTATAACATGTATAAAACATCAGCTGGTCTGGCAGGAGTGACACACATTGCTCACATAAATTCTTTCTGTGGGTGTTTGGACCCACAGTACAAATGCATACAGGCTAACAATTAACGAAGAAAACCCACCCACAGCAACAGATCCTGGAAGTGATCCATCTTATAGGGCGTGCATGCATTGCACTTTTGTAAAATGCGAAGTATGTTGCTGAGTACCAGTGTTTTGGAGGAACAGATTGCCTACAACTTCAGGGTAGAAGTCACCTGAATATGGAAGCAGTATGTTCCCCCAAAATGTTAGTATTCATCTACCATACTACATGGTGTCATAATCCAGAAATCCGTTATGTAGAGTTAATTATTATTTTTAAGATGATTTATATTGAATTTGAAGTCACACATTGGTTAAATGGGAGCATGTGGTAGCATAGTTGGTTAAGGCACTATGCTACAAGCTGGAAGGTCGCGGGTTCAAGTCCCGATGAAGTAATTTAATTTTTTTCAATTGACCTAATCCTTCCAGTCGCACTATGGCCCTGGGGTCGACTCAGTCTCTAGCAGAAATGAGTACCAGGAATATTCTTGGAATATTCTTGGGGGTAAAGGGCTGTTGGCATGTAGGACTGACAACTTTGCTGCCATCTATGAGCTGATTGTCTAGAAAATGTGGGAACCTCAACATCTCACAATCCTAGGGGCCTCCATGGCCTATTATAGGGATACCTTTACTTTACTTTTTACATTGCTTAAACATTTAAGGCAGGATTGTTTGATGCTTGAGTTATATAAGGACACTGTTATTAAAGGCTGATTTCACAAGAATGTGTCACTTCAAGATTTGCGTTTTTTCTTTGTTAACTTGTACAGTTGTAAGCTGTACACTGTACTGTGTGTCTTTGCTTCTGCCCATGTGGTACTGTTATGAGGATTTGATTGTCATAGAAAGAAGTCATCCACACAGAAATAACTGAAACTCTCTCAGTACCAATAACCTTTTTATTAGCTTGTTGTCCTTTTTAATAGCCAAAAGTGCGTTAAACTGACAAGGTCTAATATTATATATATATATTTTTTTTTGTTTGCAGCAAGTCATCGACGGTCTCTTTCTGAAGATGCTGGTTGTGTAGTGTTCCCTCCTCACACAGCACCAAGTGACAAAGCACGTTGTCACTTTGTTCTCCCAAGACAACAGTCAACAGACATGCTGCTCCTAACCCCCAAACATGTTGGAGAGAGCATGGTGAAACAAGATCCCCACTATAAACCAATGTCAACAGGAGACAAGTCTTCAAGAACAAACCCATTTGCAACCTTGTCACAGTTCAGAGGTGTGAAGAAAATATTGGGAGGTCTTAATAAAGGAGGAAGTCCGAATACTTTTGTGTCTGGAACTGGTGGAGACCTGTTCTCTTCCTGTTTTGAACTGCCATCTCCATTCTATGGACCAACACCCCCCAGCACTCCTACTGGAGACCCGCCTACAGATGCATCAAGTTCTGAAGCATCAGTCAGTTTACCAGAAAAGAATGGGTCCTCAACCCTTGATGAGAAAAGGTGTTTGTCTCCTCAGAACTTGGATGGAAACACAAAAATGTCAAGTTCTCACAGGCTTACTCAGCAACCCCTGTCCTTGCCGGCATCTCCGACTTTAATGCGTAGGAGAATACTAACAAATTCTGGCCTAGTACCACCACCTCCGTTGTTAACACAGAATTTGGCTCCTTCACTAACATCATGTGAAGATAATCAAGATGATGAGAAGATACCAAAGAAATCAGTATTCAAATGTTCAGAGGATTCTGCTGGTAGAAGATCTTCTGGTTCATTGACATCGAAGAAATGTAAAGCAGTTGCAGCTAGTTCATTATTTACACACCCTTTATTCAAAAACAGTGAATGTAGTTCAAAGACTGAACAAATTAAAAAGGGAGCAGGTACTTCTTCCACCTTACTTCAACTACCTCAAACACAGCTGCAGCATCCTTTGCTTCTAAATCAGAGAGTTTGTTCTTCAAGTCTCAACCTTGCAGATCCTGGTTTGTTGCTGTCTGAAGACCTTGTAGGTAGTTTGGGATATCCGTCATCTGTTTTAAGACGCCGTGGTTCCTGTGAATCTGGCTTCTTCAGCAGTGTTGGTGAAGATTTTGGTTGTACAGCTGGTGACCTGTTGTCACCATCAGAGTTTCCAGGAATCCATGCATCCACACGCAGTCACCATACTGCTTCATCTGCAACATTATCTTCATCCTCTGCAGCTTCTTCCTTGTTCTTACTCGACGACTCGGCTGTATCAACAACGACTGTGAGTTCATTAAGGTCTGGCAGTGGTGAACTAGGAGATCTGGATGACTTGGCAACTACTGGAGCAACTGGTGGTGTTTTGACACGTGGTGCTCCACATCATTCACTTTTATTTGCTGCTAAACGTTCATCGTCAGTATATACGGACAGTTCAGAAGACATTTCAAGTTTAGGTGGTGGAGATCTGTCCTACTGGGAGGACAGAAGCTCTAATGGTATAGGAGGACAGCCTCAACAGATCAGTAAAATCGTTGAATATTTTGAAAGAAAACAGAGCAGTAATAATGGTGGAAGTAATCCAGGTGTAATGGATGCTGAGAATATGCCTTCATCGGTTTGGGACTTGCAGGAATCACAAATTTCTTCAAAACACCAAAGAGACATACTGTTCCATCAAGCTGCTGGCTTTGGAAGCAGGAATTCAACAGTGGATTTTGCACGAAGAATTGAAGGTTCAAGTCTGAATGATGCAATGAGATCATCAAAAATTGCTCTTCTTAGAAGATCATTGGAAAAAGTGACAGGGGCAAACTTATCAGGAACTCCACAACAGTCTCAACTGCTGGGATCTGCACAGACACAAGCTACCACACTACAGGGAGAGAAATGTGTAAAGAGGAATGTTAATGCAACCCAGAGGTTGATGATTTGTGAAGGTGCAGTACGTTCAAAACTCCCACTTTTTGACAAGAAGTGAGTGTTTACAAAGTACAATTATATCTGGGTGTATGGACACTGGTCCATTGCATAGTATTGCATTGTCCTGCCATTGATGAAGACTAATGTATCAATTATAAATATATAGATATATATATATCACTGGTTTATAAATAAATTGGTGCCAGTAATATTTTGTGTTTATAATGTGTTAAGGTAATAGCAACAGTATTATGCTGTACTTGTTATAATTAGTATATTTGGCATGTCAATAAACAAATACAAATGGTTGGAATGAGGACAGGATGGTAACTGAGAGAGAAACAGATTCAGTATGTTTGTCAACAGTTTGTTTGATAAGAGGGACTGTTGTAGGCTGACTGTAATAACATTGTTAGGGACATGGTCAGAGTAGCAGAGGTGCTTGCAGTATGTGACATATTGGTGAAAGGGCAGCTGGAACAGGAATGTAAAGTAATCGTACTGGAAATTCTTGTAATGACAAAAAAATAGTAAGTTACTTTAAGCCAGAAGTGAAAAAGAGCACATAAACACAAAAATGTTGTGTTTTATTTATCCATGCAATACACAGAGGCTTGGATGTAAAGAGAAGGGCATATTTTATGTACAGCGATGAATGTTTTCAGAGGAGGTGGATGAATGCCATTCACTATTCTGAGTTAAATATCTGGTGGTTTACTTTTGCCTTTATTTCTCAGGTTCAGTCAATTGTGAATGTAAGGTTTCATATGATGCTTGCCAATTTAATCTTCATTTCTTATGTCTTGTCTTCATGGTCACATTGTTCATTTTATTTGCCCTAGGAATGTATCCAAAAAGTCAAACTGCATTCAGAATTGCTGTGATTTTTTAAGGATACTTGCTTTCTGATATCTTATATGCGTGATAATTCTCATCAGGGAACAAAACAATCACATCAGAAATTATTTGCAGCTCCTAATGTATATGATTTGTATCTGCAAGATACCTGGTTTGGTTATACTCCAGAGCACTCACTGTTGTGACTGAGATCATTCATGACTTTCTTCAGTTTCTCCTGCAAATGCCAGGGTAGAATCTTAAAACAGGTCACAGATGTTTCCTTTCCAGTTGATTTTGGTTTTAACATAGCTTCTTATCCAATTTTATTCAGTTGTCATCCGTTTTTTTACAGTGTTATTAAATGACTCAAGTGAGATGAATAATTTTTGTTCTTTACTCTGAAGTATGTGATCATTGGACCTACGAGACTGATAAAAAGCTGCCCATACTTTTTCAGAAAATCACTGTTTGTTTTTAAGTATTACTGAAAATAACCTGCCTCTTCACAGCATGTAGTAGGTAAACATTCTTCTTCTCAAGGTTGCTGAGTTTTGCCCATTGTTTAATGTTCTCAAAGGATAACTCCGTTAGTGTAGTGATGGGCTATGGGCAGAACAGCTGGGGATTCCCAGCAGGTACAAGAGATTTCTCTGTACTCTTCAACATCCAGACCAGCTCTAGGCTCACTCAGCCTCCTATCCAGTGGGTACTGGTGATCCTTTCCCAGCAGATAAGGTGGCTGAGGCATGAAGCTGACCACTCATCCATCTAGTGCCAAGGTCAAGATTGGTGGAGCTATACCACCACTACCCCATACACCTTCATGGTGTGGTGTGCGATTAATTGAATATAGGGACAACTTTATATTTTTTACCTCTACCCAACATTCTAAAAGAGACAGCATTTTGGATACTGAATCTGTTTCTGTCCTTAGGTGAGAATGTGGGAGGCACATACTTGTTGGGTCTGTTAGAAAAACCTAGCCTCAAAACACTGGACATCCTAAGCCTTCAACTATACCTATATGTGCATCTGAGATCAGTTTTTGTCAACAGGAGATAACAGGAAAGTTTATAATAAAAATTGTGTAACCACATATTAAGACCTAAAATGCAGCTGATAAGTGTACTCTGATTAGAGGCAATTTTTCTTCATTGAACACTTGGCATTTCAATCCATTCCTCCCTCCCCAGCTGACAATGAAATCAGTGTTAGGCTTGAACATTCTCCTGAGACAGAGATATGCACTATATCAGTGCACTACATAACCATATTGTTTCATAGTGATATAATTTCTAATAGATTATAATTCACACTTATATGTGTGTTTATGCTGGCAACATCAATTCAAAATTTGCAGCAGATTCTGTTCTTGCAATTCAATTAAGCATTCCCCATTATCAGTTATTATACCCTAATCATAATTGCTGACAAATTGTGGACACCATTCTTTCATTGCAGTCTCCAGACTTGATTATTTTCCTCAGGTTCCATGTATTAGGTATTACTTTGTTTTACCCATTGTAAAGCCCCATCTTCTGTCATATAATTTTCATCTTCATTTAGGGCGTAAACTCCAATAATTGTGATTCTTATATCAAAAGGCTTCATGTTTACTGTAGTTATATTTTTCTCAGTAGCTTCTCAGTTATGACTTTCTTAAAACTTTTACAATGATATTGACAGATACTGCGCTCTTTGCTCTTTCATCTCTTGGCACTTGAAAATATAAATATATATGTGGTTCTTCCTCCAGTCCATTCCCCTTCTTCTTATCTTCTAATTTCAGCAAGTACTATGATATTCATTTTTTTCCAGTTCTTTAAAGATTTCTCTCATTTTGCTACAAATGCCTTGTGCATTAAAGTGTACCCTTCCTCCAAATTGGAGGACCAGGAACTGTGAATCTGGCATGTTCTTCCCCTGGAGTGGTTTTATTTGCTATGATTATCAAGCTAACCCGCAGGAGGAAATTGGTGAAGGTTAGTAAGTTCATATTTATCCTTATTCTTGAATGAAATGAGAAAAAGTGACAAAAACTTGAGTTTATAAATGTTAAGTGTTTTATAATTAATGGTACAAAGGTGAAGAATGAGTTGGGGCAAGTTCAAGCTGTAGTGCATGTGGCTTGTTTTAAGGAGTTATTTTGGTATTTGTGTGAATGGGTTGAGGAACATAATGAAAATTTCAGGATAGTTGATCCCTGTTCAGTATTCCAACTGGATACCTCTTACATATGAATTGGGTTAACTGAACTAAGCTTTAGACATGAGCCAGAAGCCCCATAAAATCTTACACAGCTTGTCTTATTTTCAGGGTACACAGTAAGTTGCACATGCTTGGAGGATTAACCATTTAGTTGTTGCTAACATGGTACACACCCACTTTTTGCCTGGTGTGAGTGAGATGTCTCTTGAAAGTACAGTTACAGCTTTAGTTCGTCTGCAGGATATCTGTCAAACTAAATAGTCAGTTCTTGGGTACTGCATATTAAAATCTTCATAAATATCAGTAAATTTTATATCTGTTCTGTAACTTGCATTAACTTCATTATAGCTACCTACAGATATGACGTATATACATCTTTGATGATCATGTGGGTAAATAGCTGAATAGTCTTAAGGTTAACAACCTGATGTTGGACTAAACTTGTGATACATCACATTAAGAATATATGACTGACGAACTCTTAGTTATTTAATGATGCTGTTTCAAATGCAGAGGTACTTTATCAAGATGGGATCATTGCTAATGTGAGGTAAGTAATGATTTAGAAAGGCATAGTTGTGATCAGTTACATAGCATTCACCTGAACAAACAGAAATAGTGAGATACTTTTTCCAGGATAGCTGATAACCAGGTTGCAATTTTAACCACATACCTCCCAGGTACAAGTCTTTTGCTACACTAACCTGTTTGGTCATATGTCAGTACTAAATGAAGTTAATGAACCAGAGTAGGTTTAGAGACCAGTCAGTTGCTACCAAACCTGGTAGTTTTAATATATCAATTACTGAAAATGTATTTTGAACAAATGAAGACCTCTTACTGCCTTGTAATGCATACTTAACATTCACTGGTAGATGCAGTAAGAAAGCTGGAGGGAGTTTTAGTATATCATTCTAGGATATCTGAACTTCTTATTCAGTATGTGTAAATGTATGACAATTTCTGAATTATCTTCCTCACTGAAATAATTTTTCAACTGCTATTCTAAAAGCAATTCACTGAACTTCATTGAGGAGAAAGAACAGAGACTGAGTCCTGGAATGAGGTAGGAATCCCCAAGTTGATCAGTTAATATTCATCTAGTTCTTTCATAGTGCTGTGTACAGGGACATTATCTGTGAGTAGTAGTAGCAACTTTCTTCACATACCAAGAAAGTAGAAACAAAATTAGTGCGTAAAATAATTAATGAACTGCCCATTCAGTATGAAGCTGTATGTGTAGTTTGTGCATGTGAAATATATTGCCATTTTGAATATTTTTAACATTTTACGTTTTTTAGAGACGAAATATGTAGCTCGTCCTACCTCTGTCATCTTAGTACTAGCTTCTTTCTTTATAGAACAGTTACCAAACTGCTATCAAGTTCGAAATACCATATACTTTTAAAGTGCTGAATTGTTAATTTGGTAATGAGTAGACTTTTGTGTTGTCTTTCAGTCTGTATTATTTGCATGAAAGGGGCCACTCTAATTTGGGGGAAGGGGGGGTTGGCTAAATGTCGTTGGCCTATGATATTTTGTTGTAAAGAGACTGTAATCCAAGCAGCTAATGAATTTAAGGATTGATGTATTACATTTCATCATGTAGACTGAATTTCTTGGAAACTTGATGGGTAATTATGGTGAATGTGATAAATTTACTATTGTTTCGATATTACGCATGTGGAGATAATAAAATTTCTGTTGAGTGACTGTGACTGGTTGTCACAAGTTCACAGCTGAGATCCAGTGAGACCATTTTGAAAATTGGCAGCTCACAGAGGTGAGTTTCAACTTTCACACTGATAGGTCTTGCAACCAGTTATGCAGTTTCTTATGTTTCTCAGAACCGAAATTAATAATTACAGTTTTGACTATTATAGTGTATGACAGTGGTCACTAAATACAACGTGCAAGTTTGAGACAGCCCACAAAAGAAACCCATCTGGCTAGTGGTTATATTTAGATCATTATTGAAATACAAATAGACATGAATAATAGTCAAATATTTACTTCCTCATATGCAGTACAAAATATTGTTAAATGAAATCAGGATTTAAATGGATCTGCAAGTTTCTTACTGCAGGCTTGGTTTAATGCAAGTCTTAACACCTTAAGAACACAAACCGGAGTTCATAATAATATATTAGAATTTCATATAATTGTGGCATATTTATAAATCACACCATGTTCAGTCACTGCAAATGCACATTTACACTTTTACTCATGAGGTTAATTATTACACTGTCACTAGAAAAAGCCCTATGCTGACTCAGAATATAACTAATTGTTTACTTATGCTCAGAATTACTGGGTTGTTGGACTTTGTCAACCGTCCTGTATTTTATGAACTAGAGAACACAACATTAATCGTCCTCTGTTCTACAAATTAGAGAACACAAAACTGCATGCGTTTCCGTCCTCAGGTGATGGGGGAGACACCTAATCTGCTGGGTCCCTCAGAAGGAGCTAACCTCAGTCACTGGACTTGTGGGCTTTTCTCAGTTACTCTTTTATAAATAGTGCAGTTAAGGATTAGTTATGACACTGGGCTTGTCCTGATTTCTCTAACAACTTTGGTAGGATATAAAAGGATAATATAATTACAATATTTCATATTTATACAAAGCTTTTTTGTTATTTTGAGAAAGTTATACGGGCTGTAGTCTCCTTACTATGATGCTTGTGTTACAAGTAAAAATGAATTGTGTTGAGCTTTGTTAATATCAGTAGTAAGAAGAAAACAAAGCATTTCATCATCAGTCAACTGCTTAATAGGTCCTGAAGTTTAATTTTAATTAAATTACACACATCCACATTTTAATGCATTTTGTATCCAAATCATTTCATTGCTCGGTAATGTATTATGTTTGGTAAAGGGTTCATATCTGTTGTTAGCTGAACTTGTCGGTCAGTGACACATTTATTTAAACTTCATATTTTGTTTGAATATTAACAGCATTGTTGTCCCAGTATGTGGGTTTTGTTCTGGAAGCTGGTAATTCATTTGGTTCATATCTGACAACCTTTGTTACAAACTATTTTATTTATGATTCTGTTCTTTCCTCTCACTTGCCAGTCATTATATTTTTCGCTCTGCATCTTTTTTTGTAGATGGTTTTACTTCTGGGTTTCTATTAAAAGACAAATTTTGAATGTCTTTATTTCAGTG